TGGTAAGTTTGTTTTTAGTTCATAGAAAGTGTTATTGCATAAAATGAGGAATACTGAGGCTTATTATGCGAACAGGAATAATAATTGTGCCAGGCGCCGGTCAACATGGTCGAGGTGGCGCGCGGTGTAACGGTCATGACGGTAAAACTGTCCCCCTGCTGTGTCCCCCGGACACTTTTACCATGTTTACCTGATTGCACCCCAGTTAAAGTGTCTGGGGAGACACATTTACGTAGGTAAATGTGACCCCCTCCAGGTAATTTTGTCCCCCTGTCCAATGGTAAATTTGTCCCCCCTGAGATTTGTGTCCCCCGTGCAACATCACAAGTCTTTCACGCATGTTGGTAAAATCGTCACCGAGTCAAGTCGTCCCCAGGTCAAATCGTCCCCAAGTCAAATCCTCCCAGGTTCAAGTGGTCCCTGAGTTAACTCTTTCCCGAGTTAACTTGTCCCCTAGTCAAGTCGTCCCCCATACATGCCATATAAATAATTAAATTATTATTTACTGCGGCAGGTTATTTTATTTATTACTCCTTAAGATTTCACTGCGGTAATTTATTAAGGGGGGGGGTAATTTATTTGGGGGGGTAATTTATTTAGGGGGGTTATTTATTTGGGGGGTAATTTATTTAGGGGGGGTAATTTATTTAGGGGGTTAATTTATTTAGGGGGATAATTTATTCGGGGGTAGTTTATTTAGGGGGGTAATTTATTTATTATTTTTTTACTTAGGGCTGGCGACCATTTAGACCCGGTTTGAAAAGCCCCCCCCCGTAGCCCACCCTGTATAATGCCTGCCTGGTATTCAGGCTACTCCAGGCCAGTATCAGGCCTGTCTGCACATTGGCATTTCAAAGTCCCTGATGGAAGGCTTCCCCCACCATGCTTCCACAGATGAATAGGGGTCTAAGCGGATTAGTGTAAACATTGTATAGAGCTGAAGGATCAAAAACCACAAGCAGGTTCCTTCTGGGATAGATTACATGTACCAGTACTTGCAAACAATAGACCCCAGGATGAAGAAGTTCGAGATCAACAACCAGTCCAGCATCCCAGGCCTGTAGCCAGGCCTGTAGCCAGGCCGGTATGAAAGGGGTTTTTGCAACAGGGCGAGCTTACCGGGGGGGGGGGGCCCTTTTCAAACTGGGTCTAAATGGTCGCCGGCCCTTATCAACTTTTTACTGTGGCAACTTATTTTTTGGGGGGGGGGATTTATAAAATCTTTTTTACTTTTCAAGTTTTTACCGGGGAAATTTATTTATTTTTATTGTGATATCTTTTCGATTTATTTTATTTAAGTTAGTTATTTTTATTTTATTTAAAAATCATTTCTCAGACAGGACTGAATTATCTCTTTTGCAAGTGTGTTGGCTCTGAAACGAGCCGGTTGGTTACAGGCCCGGTTTGCCTACAGTGATCGTCCAGTAAGATGCTTGCATTTGGCATCCCCAGCTCAGTTGTCTGCCCATATGCCACATCTAAAGCTGCCGTGAAACACTGCCTTCGTCAGCGAAACGTCAAAAGGGTGGCCATGTGCATTGAGCCTTGCCGCTCAGACAAAGGCTGTGGCTGAATTGCAGCAATCACACACACCACTGACGTGGAACCCCAATTATACCCTAGTTGATCGATAAGCAACAATTACCAGTAACTTCATTTTATAAGACCTTTATTACAAAATACAACTTTAATACAATTCTACAAGATTTCATTCACTATACACTCTAAAGCAACCCAGTCAAAATGTTAACTGATTTTCCTATTCAAAATAACTAAAATTCATTACTGATTTCAGAAAGTTATTTCAATAAAATGGAAATTTCCACTGAAAGATTTGAAATTTGAAGTTGTTAAAATTGCTTTAACAATTCAAAGAATAGGCACACGCCATGGAATCGCCCTTTTAATAAATATATGTGGCACGTTTTGGTTACCGTAGATTTCAAAAGCCGCCAGCTTGCTGCGTAGAACAAATGAAAGTTGTGAGTACATGTACGAGTCTCTGTCTTGTTTTTCTTTCTCTTCTACGTATGATTGATGCACCTAAAAAGAAAATTGCATGCACAGACAACACTTGTAAGAACTAATGGGGGACGACTGACCCAGGGACTATTTGACTTGGAGACGATTTGCCCCAGGGACGACTGATTCAAGGGACGACTTGACCTGTTTCCATCTATCACCCAGACCCTAATTTCAACTGTTTTCCGCACAACGTAGACAGACACCGTGCTTTTCTGGAATGTTTGTTATGTCAAAACACGGTGATTGGATAATGGCACAGATGTGCACTTTGTATGTATAGCGCAAGTTGCAAATTGTCTAACTTAACTGTGCTTGATGGCTTGCAGCTGTGTCTTAAACCGTACGTGGACGCTTTTGACTACTTTCGACATTGTTCGCAGGCTGCAGCTCAGCGAGATGGCATGATGCCAGTGTAGGGATTTGCGAAGTCGTTTTCCTTCCTCTACAAGTGCGAGCTACACTGCGCTGCGCCGCGAGACTAAACTGAGAATGACTACACTGTACGTGTGCGAGAAGCCTGCAGAATAACGCTTGCTCCCTTATCCGATTTCATGCAGAAACGTAGCTCGGTTGTTTTTAAATCTCATACCTCTCCCTTTTACAACTTGATGAAGGGCTGCAAAATCTAACTGTATTTCATGTGGACTTACTTCATCAATCTAACACAAAAATAACGCTTTTACCTAAGTACATGTACATCTGTCCTGCCGGACAATTTTACCGGGGGGACAGATTTACCGTCTACAGTGGTTATCCATTGTTATCCCCCAAAATGGGGTCCGAAGACTGCCCCGCTCCCACCAATGTGTGAGCGGGGCGGACGTTGAACCCCACAGTTCTGGGGATATGTGGCGGTTGGTCATTCTCACGGTGAGCATGATGTCACTACGGACTCTTAACACCTGGCAAAGGGGCAAATTTAATTACCCTTGGTGCTATTCAATAATTTACCGACATGACAGATGTTGCCAGATGTCTGACCACCAGAATCATTTTGTTGTTTGCTCGTGTGGTGTGCACCATGCCAGCCTGGGTCTGTAAACCCAAAACAGGGCCCTACGTATATATGCCTTCGTCAATACTGGCATGGCTGGCCCTGACCACTCTGACCCCATTCATAGGAAATTCTTTCTCTTTGACTCTCGATTTGGTTGAAATTTAATCCAGGGACATGAGTTGGTATTGCAAATCCCTAGAACTGTGGGGTCCGTCGACAGTTCTGGGGGGTAGGGGCTAACTTCGCTACTTACCCCTCCATGACTTCCGCAGTTAACTATTCCCAGGTTGCTATTTGCAGGGAACTCACCTTTCCCTCATTTTGAGGAAACAATGTTGCCTCCCTAAAGCTTGGAGTTGGACGTTTTCCCCTCTTGCACAAAAATGAAGGCTGTTTCATGTCACAGAGAGCAAGGCCGCTCTGCATGTTCAGCAATTCACCACAAGTGGTATTTGCACTTGTGTAACTAGACAAGGAACTTGCCAAGTTGAGGGCGGTGGTTTGCATTAGCTGTCACATGAAAGAGCCGTCAGGTTTTCCATGAATACTTGGACCCACATTGGCAGATCTGAACGAGATTTACGTGTGCTGAAGTCTGGTCGTAAACTAGACAGGCTGTCCAAGCAAGCTACTGTTACTTAACCATGCCTAGGAGTGGGTGTATTGTGCAAATTATTAAATGACAATGAGCCATGGAATTTGTTGCATTTACTGGCCCAGCAACACAAAAAGTACATTGACAAGGACGGCTCTTGTGTTCCCATTTTGCAAATGAATTGTGTACAAATCTGAGGCATTTCCCTATTCACAGGTATACACTTTAAGTTGTATATTTTCAGTGTGGAAGTGTTGCCCTTCAAAAGGGGGCGTACATGGCTCACTCGTAACTCCTTACAGCAATAGGACCCAGTGTAAAACAAATACATCTGGCTGTATCTTGGAGGATGAGGACAAGATAGAAATGTAAACTCGAAAGGTTTGCGGTGGCACCACTGATATATCTCTTTTTTGAGCCTGTCGGGTTCTGAAAAGAACCGGTGGTACTCAACGTTGTGGACAGTATGCTCTGTCCGTCGTCAGGAGATGAGAGCAGGAGCCTGACGACAGACAGAGCACACTGTCTGAAACATTGAGTACAACTGGTTCTTTTCAGAACCCGACATGCTAAAAAAAAGATGTATCACGTTTACTTGCTACCTCCACCGTGAAAAGCTTCAAATCTCATCTAAGAAAGAAATGATGCCAAAGTATTCACCAGAAGTGGTAACATTATGCAACTCCATAGGAGTCACACCTGAACTTTAGCAGAAACAATTACCAGATGTTGAATTGTCACATGAAGTTTTGTCATTCAGCAAAATGCTGGATGTCCCTAACGTAACTGACCGTCTGTTAATTGATATTTGGCCACTCTGCACTTGCTCAGGACAAAGTTGAGAGCACTTGAGGATTCTAACTTGATACACCCTTTAACTTCTTGTGATATTTGTTTTCTTTCAATTTCAGCAATTGAGGAGGGAATACGAGGAGAAAGCGGCATCAGAGGCGAGACAGAGGGAGGAGGCCGAATGGCAGTCCAGATTGCAGGACGAATGGGTAGCAGACATGGTGGGGATGTGTGGCGACACCCCCTGGGAGGACACAGGTATGCTAAGAATCAATCATGTTCTGGTGTTGATTTGATGGAGGGAAGGGCTCCTACCATCTTGGAAGTGTCGGAAAAATTGTCTTAGACAGTCATCGAAAATCATGGGAAATTGGAAAATAAGCTGTCCTGGAATCCTGTCGTCAGAATGTCATGGAATATGGATTTGACACTTAGGTGACTTTTGGCATTTACTCCGGCTCAGCCCAAGTAACAATGCAAAAACAAGGCAGCATAGTTGAACAACGAAAGTTGATGCCATTATAAACATTTCAGAAATTTTTTGCATGTAGAGACAAATTGGCTTAAGTTCGAGTGAGTTACGTGAAATAAAGTCCAGATATGTGTGTATGGATGTCCCAATACCCTCACGGTTAGGTAAATAGCAAGCCTGGGGTACAAATGTGCTGACGATAGCCTGGTTGTCTCAACAAGGGATGACATTCCTGTTTACCCCCTATTCCGCCATTCTCTGTGAAAGCTGATTTCATGACGACTCATCCCTCTTTTTTTGTCATTGTTTGCTTTTCCAGGAAATTGAACGAAATGTTTGGATGTGTGGTCTAGGACACCAGTGAGGCAGAGCACCAGTGACATATCACTGGATCCCACCCAATAAAAGGTACGTGTATTTTAGCAATGTACTTTGGTCGACACACCTTGAATGGTGGAGAGTGAGTGAACGTCAACCGACAGCATGTGGGGCAGCACGGACATCCGTGATTCTCACAAAATGACAGGTACTTCGCCGGTGAAAACAGCGACCATGGTGACATACGCACGCACCAGGTAGTCCAAGGATCGGGTTACACAATCTTTTCTTTGATCTGGATGTACACACAAGCTCACTGTAGTTGTTTTCAGCGGTGCGGTGTGGCTGCTACCTGTAATTTTGTGAAACTTCCAGATGTCCGCACCGCCCCATACATGTATTTAGCACTACGTTTGACATTTTTGATCAATTTTTTTCATTCACGAAAAAGAGTTGGATTCCCTGAAATAAACTGATTTCCACAAACTGAATAAGGTGCCCCCAGCATTGTTTCAGAAAAAGTGAAATCCCCCCCTCGTCTCCATCATCATGTGTGCGTGTGTAGGCACATCACAACAAAACAGATCATTTCTGTGCTTATGGTTTTGCCGGGGGCGCAGCTCCTGTGGCACTCCCCCCCTTGTGACGGGCCCGCCCTCCCCTCATGGAAGGAGTGTATCCTAGAAATTAACAAACACTTACGGAATGTTTAACCCTAACACTCCTCAGTCCTCCAACAGGTGAAGGATTGAGGAGGGTTAGGGTTAAGCATTTGTAATTTATCCCTTTAAAAGAACCCATCAAGACCACCCCTCTGTTAAATTGCAAACAAAGTAACTCCATTCAGTTTAACTGAGCACAGAGGTCATGTGGAAATTTTCAAGGGCTTAGTCACTGGGTGCATTTCAACATTCAGTGTAGCCATTTAGGACAACATCTCAACTCGACCGGTGACTTTGGAACTAAGACAAGGCTATCAAATTGTGGATTCTGAAAGCATTTTAATAAAAAGTGAATTAAGGAAGAAACTTATAGGTGGACAGCGAGAGCTCAGTCATAGAATATGTTCATCCCACAAGTTTCAATAATTTTTTTGTAATCACAAAGATGCCTTTCCTTTCTTTTGCTCAGTAGAATGAGATTGATGATTGATGGCCACCATTTCATAAGAAAAAGGGAATTTTCAAGCTTCCATATTGGTCAAGGTCACACGACGAGGTAAAATTTAGTTCACATATACTTTTGACCCTGTCACTTTAAAGCTAGGCTGACGTTTGGAAACAATTTTTAAAGCCCAACAAATGACATGTGTAAAGCAAAAGTTTACTGGTTGGATCCATTAGGTATTGTCGATATTCATTTTGAACTGTCAAGCTTTCTCAAAATTAATTCATGAAATTAGCTGTTTCCCCACGACACATGCCACAGATGATGAAAAATAAAAAGTGAATATTTTCAAGGTCAAGAACACCAACATGCAAAATTCTCAACCTCTTAGCAATGGCATAAAGATAAGGCCTAATCCAGTTTCAAACACAGTCTTCTAGGGATTTCTAACCAGATTCTCTTGTCTTGGACAACTGGCAACTGGGGACCCCCTATTGTTCCTCTTTTGTTTGTACTTAAACCTTTTTTGGAGACCACCCATATGTTTTGTACACAGTTGTCAATCGGGGACCCTCTGTCAATCGGGGACCTTA